CCTGATACATGCTTCTTCAATTCTTTAATTTACATTCGGTGTTCTCCTGCCTTTTCCCTTTTGGTTTCATCATTACTCTGTAAAGAGCTTTGTTCGTCATTCTGCACTGACATATCATTTCCTTAAGATGATGCTAAAGTAAAATGCTGAAACCAAAGTAGGTTAAGTGAGAGAAAACATCACAAACATTCTTTTGTCTTGACTTCTGGTTTATGCTTCCACAATCGATTGTCAGCTTCCCACCCAAGGAATAAAAGTGGCATGGTGTGGTGTAAAACCACCAACTGGGGGGCCCACACTGGAATTCCAGGTGGACAGACAAGTCACTCTGACCTTCTGAACCTCACCTCTGCATGGAGGATGAGGATCTGCCATCTAGACCTGAGATGATGTCTAGCTCTGTCGGGTTCCACTGCAGACTTAGGTTACTATCCCATATAACTAAATGATCCTGCATTGTGATGTGTCAGAGTGTTGTCCTGTGTGCTATTTTCAGTGCTAATTGCTGATGCTTGCTGACTGCATCTCAGTCTGTCATAAACCCCTCCCAGGGCTCTTGGCTGTAAGGCTGCTTTTCTGCACGGTGTGGGTCCAGATCTGGATCTTGCAACGTGGTTAAACAGCATTACTAGCATGGAGTGCAGTTATTCTAAGTCTTGCAAAATGGTCTAAGGGAAACCTCCCCTCCTTTTTGCAAGTGAGCGAATGATTTTATTTCACTTCTATACTTATTGTCCAAACTCATTGTCTCCCATGGTCTACCAATTTTTCTTTTCTACCTTCTTATCCAAAAAGTGGCTAGTTCCACAAGACTGGATTTTCTGTAAATTTATTCATAATATAATGGGGCCTACCTGTCAAGTCTCATGTGCATGTAGCTGAGGACTTATCTCTTTGGTGTCAGGAAAAGAACCAGAAGATGAAGGTGTATTTTGTGGTTAGTTACATACAATTTGTTGAGAACACAGAAAAACACCAGAACATACACCTGACTCATTTAAAATAAACCTAGGTTGCTGAATATAGAGAAACAAGCTCATTTCCATGATTGTTAAGAACAGAAAACCTTTTAAAAATAATATGGCAAATGTTTAATTTGAGTTTCAAACATTGACAATGTGGAAACCCCTTACAGAACTTGTAGGATATTTTACTGCAACAAGAAAGTAGATTTGGTCCTTCATGATCTAATTTTGATTCATTACATGAATAAAAAACCTGTGGCCATTCACTGTGTTGAAAAATTAAGTGCATATTTTTTTCCAGCATTGCCCTCCAAAGGGCTTAATTAAGACCACCTCAGAATCACTTCTACCAGAAAAGCTGTCCATTTTCAAAGCTTCTCTGTGGATGACCAGTGTATCTGATTTCCAAATCCTCAGCAGGGAGTATGTGCACAACTATTGGTAAGGAAGGACAGTCTCTGTGCTGCCCAGGGCCAGAGGACTGCTATGGTTATGTGTTTGTTTTTTTTCATAATCCAGCTTTGCTAAGGGCAAAGCATCACATGACCCCTTCCTCTACAAAGTTTGCCCACTCACCCACTGAGTTGCCAGAGGTGTTTTGAATCAGTGGTGTTTCTTGACCATTGGCGGCTGTTTGAAGGGTAAATAGAGTCCCACTGTGTATACATGCAAGCTACAGGCATGGTGCTCAGTGGAGTGTCCCCTGTTGGGGTACAGACCTTGAACCACAGAGCCTTTGCAGGTATGCGTGACCAGGTGAGCTGAATGAGTGTCTTGTTCTTTCTTGGCTCCTTTCATTTCCTGTTTTTTTGAATACCTGTGAATTTTGTGCTGTGTCAGGAGGAGGATGAGCAAGTGAACATAGAAAAATACAGAGTTGGGAAAACAGGTAATGGACTGTAGGATTAAAAAGCAAATAAACAGAAGATCAGTCAAATGTGGTTTCAACTGGCGGTTAAATTACAGAATGTTTACCTGGAGGAATACTCTCTGAAATTAGAAAAGTGTGGCTGATAATCTTGAGTGCTGAGGAGTCTGTTGAGGGGATCCAAATAGCAAGTGGCTAGGAAAATTTTTGAATGACTTAGGGATTCAGCCTAAAGGACACAACATGCTCTTTTACAAAAAATTAGTGACCCTGGCCTAGGTGAAAATGCTTCCCTCCAAAGCCACTGCCAGCCTCTTCTGTTGGGTACTCACTGACTTGGAAATTGTTCAGGCAGTGCTGTGCTGGAGCCTGCTCATGTTATGCTGAAGCCAGCTCTTACTGGCTCTTGAAAACGTTTTTGCAGTTTGAGCTGGTTGACATTAAGTTAGTAGCCGAAAATCGGCTATGCTGAAAATATTTACACCGCAGAAACTGGTAAATGCGTGTTCTCCAGAGCCAGTTGTTTAACATGTGGCAGCACATCAAAGGGCTAAAACTGTTTCTGAATCACACAGAAGGGAAATCAGAGGAGCCCTTTAGTACCTCCGATGACAGAGGCTTTGCATGTGCACATCGATAGAAAGAAGCCTGGCTAAAACTTCATTAGAACTGTGGCACCTTCTCCAACAAAGGCTGGAACAAGGCAGCTAGAATAAATGACCCTCTTTCTTACACTGGTTTGGTCTTAGAATTTTAGCCCCTTGAATTTCTTTTTGGATTGGTTTCATCGCTGGAAGACCTTTGCATTTTGGGCAGTACTTGGAGTTTGAGAAATCAGACCCTTCAAGAAAGATTTTAGGCCCTGTGAATTGACTCTCAAATTGAATCTGATTGAATTATGTAAATTCCCTGTTTCTCAGTCTGTTCATTTGTAAAGATGAATCACCTGAGATCTGCCCCTTAGTTTGAAATATGGAGTGGAATATAAAGAGCCAGCCTTGGGGTAAAGTATATTAAAGCAATGCTCCCCACTTGGTCCTCAGGTTTCCATCCATTCTGACTAGAATGAGCAATTATCATTTGCTTATGGATCAGTGAATGGTCAATTTAGCTGGAAGAGTTGACTGGTTGAGTCCTGTGTCTACATGGCCATGTATTGTGGCAACTCTAAGGAACATCTGATACTAACTGTATGAGGACTGATGAGGATTCAGCTACCGTGGTTGGCATGCTATATTTGACTGTGCTTTATATTACTGGTTTCCAAACACAGGCCACATCAGAATCATCTGGGAACCTTTGTAAGCTGGGCTTATTCTAAGATATGAGCCAAAGGTTTGGGGTGAGAAATTAAGAGTGGTATTTTCAAGAGTTCCTTATTTCATACAGCTTTGCTTGCTGATGGGTCAGTGGTATAAACCAGGTTCTTACTTCAGAACTCTACCATAAACTTAGAGTCAGTTATTCTGCAACAGGTCTTTGACTATTTTTCTACTGTAATCAACACCAAGAAAATGAGCTTTGTTGAGGATAAAAATGTCTATTCAAACACATATATCTTCAATAGTCATCACAGTAAAAATAAATTTTCAGAAATACTGACATGATACAATAACGACATTCTAAAACAATAATGACATTCCCATTTCAACTGTTACATCTGCGTGGCAAAGCAGCCTAAGTGTGAGAGGCATAGTCACTTTGGTCCTTGATATCAATTCATCTGTGGCCTTGATTAATTGGACCACAGAGTCTAGACAGGTCACTCAGCAAGCCAAAGTGCCCTAGATCTCTAGCACCTGTGGTGTTCCCTCTGGGCTCTTCAGCCACATGGACACAGTCCCAATTCCCTTTGAAAACAAAAGGTCAGTTGTACATGTTGTGGAAGAAGCAGAAGCTAAACAGAAACTTTTGCCTGGTACATGCAAGTAATTACAAGAAAAAAGGACCTAAGAATCCAGAATTACCCAGAAAATTGCTCATTCTATCATTCTGAAGAAATGAAGATTCACCAAAATTGTTATTGTTGGTACAACTTCTTAGCATATTGAACTAAATATAATAATTCAAAGTCTGATGTTGAAATTACTTATAATAAGGAAAGCATTTCTGAGCTCAAGAGATCCCTGCTGCAAAGTAGACAGAAAGAAAAATGGGCAGCCATTCTCAGCCTTTGGCTTCTAAACTATGCATACCTGTTACTAAAACAAGGTTTTATTAAGATGAACTGAGTATTGAATAGGATTTCCATTATCAACTGTGAACTATCAAAAACTGAATTGTGATTTACCAAACAGTGATCACCAAGGGGTTCTTCTTTCGTTTCAGGGGAGAAAGTGGGTGGTTACCAGTGAACAAATGTATCCTTTATTTCTCTGCATTGAGAAATAATTTTCTTTTTTTTCCCTTTACAACCCTTCCAACTTACTTTTTGTGCCCTAAAGATTCCAGACCAAAATCATGGTCCCTTTGAGTCTATCTTCATTTGATCCTGGTAAGTCCAAGATGAGATAAATTTCTCCAAATTATGCAATCTTGGGCTGTCACTTAGCCTTTCTGTATCTCCATTTTCTCATTTGAAAAGTTGAGAATTAGGACTGGGGAAGCTTATATGCGCTTATCTTTCCAGTGTCCTAGTACTCTGCAGTCTGATCCCCGATTCTGCTGACCTCAGGGCAACAGTGCACTGCTGTCTGAGAGTGTCTAATATTTAGTGTCTTGCTTAAAATTAAAGAAATGTTCTTCCATTCCTTGACTTCCCCACCAAATTAGGTTTGTCTGGGGACTCACATTCATGTCTAACTGGTGACCTATGCACAAGGAGACTGGTCCTTTGAATGTCCTTGCTGTAGCTCCACAGTCAGGTGCCTGACATCAGGGTCAGACAGATGGCACAGTGGTCACAGTAAGCACTGCTAGGCACACAGCACTTTCCCAATGATCAAGGGCACAACAATGGAGGAACCACAGAAGTTAATCATCAAATATGGGAAAGAAACTCTGGATGTGGGAGAAATTCTTGACATTACCTTTAACCCTGTCTCCTGGGATCTACATGTCTGTACACTGGGGGTCTAGCATCAAGCAAGCTGCCAAATGTTAGTTGTTTTTCTTTCATCTTCTGCAACTTAATTGATTATTTGTGTTGGTGTCATGGACAGAATTGGGAGCCTTATGGTGATATTTATTCCCGTAGGTGAACGTGGGCTCTGCTCTAAATATTCTATAAAGGGGAACGTTGCTGACAAAAGAATGTCCTTACCCTAGAACCAACAAAATGAGGTCAATGCAAAAGCCAAGGGGTGTGGACCTATAGTGAGTCAAGTAAGAGGCCCCTGTGGTAAATCTTCCCAACTCAGTGCACTTGACTCTGCAAGCCTGGGAGCTATGGGAAAGCCAGCAAACTCTGGTTACTGACAGCTGCCTTTCTAATCAGGACACACAGAAGCCACCATGTCTTTTGGTTTAGATGGTGGCTATATAGGTTAATCTTTGAAACAATCTTTAAAAACAAAGAGATCTTGTACGATTCACTAGAGGCTGCTTTTCTCAGTGTTGGAACTGCAGGTCAAGGGCATAACCAACAATACAACAATAGTAAAGGCTACTATATGTTGAGCACTTACTATGCACTGAAAATTGGGATAAATGCTTTACCCACATATTGCATCTAATTTTTTTGAATAGGAGGGGAATGTGAACTACAAATGAAAAAATTTATCAAGTCTGAGTATTGTGGTTAACCAAACAGGACGGCTTAGAATTTTCTTCACCAGATTTGTCTTAATAAAGGGGAATGTGGTCTTTAGGTATCACCTTCAAGAAATCCTGTCTAGAATTAGGGATGACCTCTAAGTCCTTCTGGTTCTGGAGATAAGTCCATTTCCCCCACTATTTTGAGTTCCTGTTAAATACAGCTGAAATGATGGTGGGGGAAGGAGAAGGTCCTGTCACTCCTAAGATGGAAAAAGCATTCAGTGAGATTAAACAACAACAACAAACCTCTCAGAACTTAAAAAACAAACAAAGCTTTAAATTGAGATGAAATAAAATTTAAATAGTCTGCCTTGGAACAATGAACTGTTTTTAGGGATCCTGGGTTTTTTTTGTTCCTTCAATCTGCATGGTTCAAAATGTCTATGTATTTATATTTAGTAAAAACTAATAGGTACATTGGGATTGAAACTCCAGAGTCAGAACCTGGCGCGAGGAATATGGGCATTAAATCACTCAGCTGTAACCAACTGAACTAAGTGCTCAGGAACAGCCAACTACGCATTTCTGTCAGTTATCAATCTCTCCGTGATTCTAACCCAGCGCAGCCTGAGAACAGCAGGATTGTCTTCTTTAAAGTGACAGGGAACATACCACTGAACTTCAGAATGTTTTAAATATCTTCCCTCATAGTTTCTTCATATATGGAATTGTTTTAGTTTCCTGTTTCAAAACTTCTATTCCTACTTCTTCCCATTTATGTAGATGACGGCCATACATGATAAGTCATGTCACAGTAGGTACCGTGTTTGAACCTGAATGTTTTTCTTTCACTTTCTTTCTTTAACCTCTGGATCTATCCAGCTGCTCTGAATAGCTCCCTGAAGCTTTAGGACCACGCAGAACATGAACATAAGGATCATGTCTTTCCTTATTGTATTTGGCTTAATTTTAGGCATGATCTTACTTTCCCAAAGAGGGGCAGTGAACTGACAACTGAATACAGCAATTATTTTTCATGGTATTTGTGATATTGCAAGCAATCTAGATGAGATTTCTGGAAAAGAATAAACTCTCCCACTCAAACATATAACAAATGTGCTTGACTGGCATTTGGAAAGAAACTTATTAAAATTTAACATCAACTTGGCCAGACTTTGGGCTGAACTGGAAGAACAAAGTGCTGCTCAGTAAGAAGTCAGGGGTGGGGGTGATACAATTTCTACTCCTAAGGCTGAAATAATGAAAAGGAGAATGGCCAACTAATTCCTCCATGGCAAGCCTACATAATCTCAAATTCCAAGGACTATTTAGTACTAAGACTTGCCACTGCACAATGGCTTTCTCTTTTGAAATACTTAACTTATAGGCATATAGATCTGATTTCAGGGGAACTAGGGAATATTCAGTGTCTACAAGTGTCTCAAAACAAACAAACAGCAGGACCCTGAAATGCTCTCACCTTACCATTATCCACAGGGGGTGGCCTGGCTGACCTTCAGCCTTCCTCTCTAGCCCTGCTGGTTCTCAAAGTCTCCAGATGTACAACATGGTCACCCCAGCATAGTGTAGACAGGACAACATAGCAACATCTAAACAGTCTTTTTCTTCCTTCAGTGTCCCAGGCTCTTCAACTGACTCAATTGCCTCTGTAGGCTGAGAAGATGGTTTGGGACTATGGGAAACACCAGGCCTAGGCTGCAATGCCCTTGCAGATGTGGCAACATTGTTATTATCTGCCATAATCACATCCATGTCAAGAGATGCAATGCCACCCACGCCATAGGCTTTCTTTGTGATAGTGAAAGATGACCTGCATTATATGCCACTCACCCCAGAGAGACCACCCTGCTGCAGAAGGACCATATGGATGAGTGAGGACTTCATTAGATGCATTTCTTATAAAAATAGTCATGAGGGGATTCATCATGATTTTTCTCGGTTTGTCATGAAACATCAAAGTTACCCAGAACCTTGAACACATCAAGTACAGATGCAACACACACAAGCAAAGCTAATTCAATAGGATTCCTAGCAAATTATTAAACTCCGTGGTTGTGGGGCAGGGGAATGGTTTCAGGGAGAGGGAGAGACATGACAGGGGGTGGGGGAGCAACAGGGAGAGAGGGGGAGGGGAAGGGAGCCAGAGAGGGAGATATGCAAACCAATTTTTTGTTTCCATTTTGAAGAGTCTGATCCCACCAGCAAAACAGATTCTGCCCCAATTGGCCTGAGGCCTCTGATTACAAGGACTGTATCTGAGCAGAGCTGCAGAAACTATAGCTCTAGTCCTCATCAACAAGGGAGGCAGTTTATTATTAAAATACAAACATGAAAATACTTCAAACCATTCTGTTAGCAGCATACTTCCAAATGCAACATTCCCTTTATCAACTGAGCTTAAATTATGTGGCTTCAATGCATCTGTCCTGCCAAGTCTGCTAAGACCATTCAAAGAGCAATGCAAAAGGGGGAGCAGACATCTTTCCTTTTAAGTGGCAGACCGAGCCTTGTAAGTCTCTGGGGTTCTACTCTGAAGACTATTCAATTTGATTTGGGGCACTTTTTAAACAGCCGTTTGGCACTTTCCATTCCGAGTTCTTAGGCACAGTGTGACAGAGTCAGCTTGGTGAGCCCTTCCCCATGCATTCGATATAGCAGCTGAAACTCAGCAGGCAGCTGGTGGGACTCCTGCCACTTGGTGGTAAATTTGGTTCCTTTTTTGTCATAGTAATGGTACGGAAGATCTTCCCTTGTGTTGGGGTCAAATCCAAAAGGCCAAAATCCATACAAGTGGATCTCTTCACATATGGCTGACGCAAGGGTGTACATAAGAATACCTGTGCTCAATCGTTTGGGCGACAAGTGTTTGTTTTTCCAGTACCTGCAGAACAATAAGTACACAGTGGATTCAGAGGCCAGTGTCAAGGCTTCAATCTGGTGGGTCAGTCGTACTGGGCTGGGAGATGGATTTGTTTAGACAGTTTAAGTTACATGGATAAATCCACCTCCCAACCCAGTCACCCTGGCCTTCCCCCTTCCAATTGAAATTTAAAATTCACTAAAATTAAACATGAGGGGAGCCAAAGGATGAGTTTATAAAGAGATAGTCTGGCAGAAGACGTGGCTTCTAGTTCTCCATTTTGGAAGTGATTGTGACTTTAGGTAAATAGTTCTTGCCCTTTATATTTCAGTTGGTTCATCTTTGAACCTGAGAGTTGGGCTCTATTATCTCTGAACGTACATCCTGGTAAATAGGGATTGCCCAAGTCTATGCCTGTTATAGTTGTTGTAATTATTAATAGGACCCCCTTTCTCTCCAAGGAAAAGTTCTGGTTTGGACTATTAATTATGGAATCACCCTACCTTTCAGAGATGCACCCTTTTATTAGATGTATCAGCTTATTAGATTCCTCTTTCAATGAGAGGTTAACTAGAGATCTTAAATTTGGAAGACTTTAGGGGCTATAGGATGAGAATAATCTGTTACAGAATGAAAATCCTTAAGATTCCCTGGTTACCAGATTTTTCCAGAACCCACTCTAATTTGTAGTAATATTTGGTGCTCTGTTGGGACACTTTGGCTTCTTATATAGGGGGAATCAGCATTAGGCAATTTGCTCAGATGATTTAAAAGGAAAAAAAATCCAACAATTAATCTTGCTTTCTAACATACCCTGGATTAGTGGCTCTCAATTCCAACTGCATATTTGAATCATCTGGAGAATTACTACAAAACCCCAACTGCCTGGTCCCTTCCTCCCTTTCCACCAGAAAAAAAAAATTGTATTAGATGCTCTTGGGGTAGAACCCAGGTAACAGTATTTTTAAAAGCTCTTCAAGTAATTCTTATGTACAACCAGTACTGAAAACCACCAGGTTAGAGGAAAGTACAGCTGCTCTGGCCAGTTCATCAAATCATAAGAGATAACAAGGAGCTCATAAAATATTTTTCACAGGTTTTTATATTCCAATATCAAATTACAAAGGCAGATAATACAATTTGTGATTTATTTAGGTGGTTTGCTGGCCTTGGACATCTACAAAAATATCTAAACTATCTAAACATCAAACAAAAGGGGCAATTTTGAGCCAACTACACCTTCTTTAAAAATCATTTGCTTTGTGTACTTTAGCCAGTGGTAAATTCTTGATTCCTGGTGTTTTCCATGACTTCTCAGTAAGCTTCCCACCAAGAGGGGAAAAGGGAACAGAGGAGGGAGACTGATGAAACACCAATCTCTCCATTTGACACTGGGCTACCAGCTGGAGGGTAGACGGAATTTTTTAACTAGAATGATTCATTCATTGATTAAGAAAGATAAGAGTTTTCCATAAAGTACTAAAACAACTAAGGATGACTCCCACCCCCAAGAGGTTACAGTACTGATTTGCCATCTGGTGGGGTATGAGTTAAATGCAATAAAATATACACACCTGTTGACATGCTGCATTATATTTCCAGGCCAAGCCAATTGGACCTTTAACTGACCTCTGTGTTCAACAAAAAAGTCAACTAACGTTCTGGTAACAGTTGCTGAAGTGTGGAAGAAAAACGCAGGGATCCAAAGAATGGCCCCATCAAGCTTTTTTAAGCTGAGGAAAAAGTTGTTACGGTCCTGTATGGTCAAAAGATTGTTGTAATATTTTTCCAGGATGCTGGGGTTGAAGGTGGTAAGGTTGGTTTTCCTTCCAACATCTCTCTGGAAAGCCTCCGTAGGGGCGAAATTGCAACGAAAAACAAAATCTGATTTATCTATTTCTTGTCCACACTGGCTCCCTGTCAGGATCCCACTATTTCCAACCACAGCACAAATATTATAATGCTTATTCAGAATGGGTGACACATCTGGAAGCAGTGACCGGAAGTTATTGCTAATAGAGAAAACATATTTATGGCTGGAATAATCATAGTGCATCAGTTGTCCGATCCGAACACTATTCTTGGTCAAAGAAAAATTTTTTATTACATCGACATGCTGCAGAATTTCTTGCCTAAAATAAAAAGAAATTTATTAAATGCATTCCATTCAAAAGAACCGAGTTTCCATCTTATGTCTTATGCTGCCATTTCATTCAGACAAGAATCTCAAGTACATTGAATTCAAGGGTTACACATTCATAATTGTGGTCTTTGAAGGGAGGGCTGCTTCAGAATATATAGGAATGTTGCAATCTTTCAGTCAGGTTTGGAATGTAATCCTTTGAGGTTTGTAAATGCAACTTGCAGTTTTAGCTGCAAGTTCTTGGTTTTCTGATCTACTTGAGGAATGTTATTTGACCAGGAAGGAGGCATATGCCAAACTGTGTCAGAAAATACAGGGAGACAATTTACACAGGCCCCAAAGAGCTTACTTTAGTGCACAAACATTGGTGACTTAAGAGTTTGTAACTAGGGACTACTTGTTTGCTATTGGATTGCAATGTTTAAGAATATCAAATATCACTGGTGTCCAAATAAAAGCCAAAGAGATATGAGTCAGTACAACACTATCTATTATTAAAATATGAAAATGGGAGTAGCAATGGATGTAGTTGAATATTTAATAGAAATGAGATGATAATCTCATTGAGACCCCTTGAATAATGAAACAGGATATTTTCCTGCTTGATTATGTAAAAACAGAATTTAGTGGGATATATCAAATCCTTAGAAACAGAGTCTAATGTAACACTGAAAATATGTGTATATTTGAAGAATAAGGAGCATAAGACAGGAGTGAGACATAAAATGAACTTCAGGTTGTTTTCCTATTAATCTTTAAGTAAACTTGTTTCCTTTTAAATGCAAACTCATTAAAATATTTAAGAGACCACTAATGCCTTACTTTGCTGCTAGATTTTCCAGTACTAAGAAATCACACTGAAAATCCAGTCTTTTTGCTTAAAAATATCAGGAATGAAATGAGATGTTTTGAAACTTGCTTGGACTTTTATTTTTAAAAAACTACTTCATTATTCAAAGTATAGAGCAACATCAACTGACATCTCCAATCCAAAACTTCCAAAGTGATCAGTACTGTTTTACTGATTATAAAGCTGATATAAAGGCAAGGAAAGTTTAAAATGATACTGGTAAAAATTAAAGGTTACCTAATAAGTGGATTGAAAGGAGGGAAGTTTTGAAAAAGAAATGCCCTTCTGATTGGTCATTAGGGTCACATGACCTAGTGGGTTAGGAATGTTTTTATTGAGTAATATATGTGTTTTGGGAAAAGGTATATAATGTGTTCTATCCTTGAAAATTTTGGGGGTTATTTATAAAATGAATATTAGATTAAAACCCCAAAAGTTTTTAAAAAGCACCCCAAAAGTTTTACAAAATCACTTAAGGGGTTTTAATATTACTCAAATTTCCTGAACTAATTTTTGATTAAACATAAATATTTAAAAATATGTAACAATAGTCATGATTATATGTCAATTTTTTTGAATAAACATTTTCCTGACACCATGGATATTTACTGGATATGTTTTAATTTTGCCAGATTACACATTTTTAAAAAGAGCAGTAACTAAAAATGGTATCATCAAAACAACTCCCTAAACAGACTAGTCTGTAAAAATAAGAATTCACACCCTTCATGAATACACTAGATGGCTCACATTGCATCCAGCAGCATGATAATCCCACCAAAAGGAAGAAGCAATGACTTATGTGAGTTTCTAAGAGAAGACCAGAATCCCTGAGGAGAATAAGTAAATTTGAGTAAATCTCATTCCCTCATCCCATGTAAAATAACAACAAAAAACTTTTTCATATATAAAACGAGACTGCAACAATTAATAAGAATGATCTTAGACAGCTTTATAGTAAGTTAAAAGCTGTAAAATCTTAGTGAAAACAACTAGGCAAAATCACAACAATCCTAAATACCTGCATATATTTGGGCCCACCTCTTCATCAGGAATTTGATGGAGATGGATCATGCTATTTCCCGTGTGTCTCAATGAAATAATACAATTTTACTTTATTTTTCATTTTTTCCCCCAAATGAGGGAATGAAAATGCACTGGGCAGTCTTGAAATTAACTACGGGGGTTTCTTCTTCATTTTTTAAATGGCTGTCTAGCTTTGGTAATCCTAGCCAGACTTGTTAACTGCAAGTCATGGTGTTCTTTCAAGCCCAGGTGAGGGAGGATATTGGAAATATCTATTTTTTCCCCATTCGAATTGGTCATTCTGGTATTTCCTATTTAGAGAGGGCACTACACTCACTTAGAGGGTTACCAATAATGATTGTGCAGTTAGGCCAGGAAGACAGGGCAAATACACTGGGGGTGAGGGAGAGGGTGGAAGGCAGGTTTTTCTTGTTTGGGATTTGGATTTGTTTTTGTTTTGTTCTTGGAGCTTCGGAATTCAAAAGCACCTTTTAGATTGGTTCTTCCTCTCCTACCTTTGATGTAAAAACGCTGTCCGATTAAAGGTCCACTTAGAAGGTTTCTCTTGGAGTTCCTGGGTGAGAGAATTCGTAATGGGCACAAAGGACGGGTCTAGAAACTTCAGCGCAAACTGTGACCTGGAGAGGAGCATGAGTACAGACAAACGTGCTGGCCTCAGCTCGGGAAGCCGAAGTAGCCATTAAAGTCCAGCCAGCCGGGGCCGGGGGCAGCTGGCGCGCGCAGCGCATCCTTCTCACCCCAGAGCCCCTCTCATTTGTTCCACCCTCTGCTACTAGACACACCGGGTAGAAGGAAGGAAAACTAGGGAAACCCCTCTCCATTGTCCATCCCTCCGGGTGCGGGAGAGACCATAAAATGGCCGTCACGCAGTGAGCAGGGGCGGGAGCCGGGAGCAGGGCTGCAGCCGGCAGCGTGGCCAGGAGCAGGGAGTCAGCACCGCGGACAGCGGCCGCGCCGCTGCCAGTGCGACCCGCGACGCCCCCGCGGCCCGAAGGAATTGATTTTTGGAGAAAGGGCAGAGGAACTGGAGACTCGGGGGAAGAGTGCGGGAGGGGCTCCTGCCTTAACCTCTTCCTTCCCGAGCCTGTGTCTGATTTCACTGCCCACCCTTGACTGGGGACCCCCGGAGGCCGCCGCCAGCTCTGCTCCTGTGCCCAGGCGGGGCTTCTCTAGGCTCGCACCTCTGGCCCGGCTCGGACCACAGGTTGCAGCAGCCCGTCAGGAGGCCCGGCACAGGTAGGGGCGGGGGCTCTCCGAGAATCGTGGGGAGCCGCGCCTGGCGGCGACTTCGACCCAGGCGAGGGTAGGCGGCCCTTGGGAGGCCAGTTTCCCACAGGGGCGGGAGAATTGCAGAAATCGCTGAGCGAGGAGGGCGGCAGTGAGGGGAAAGGGCCGAGGGAGAAAGCCCTAGGGGCTTCAACAGAACAGACCCGCGCATCCTTTGATGGGGAGGAGGGAGGAGAGGAGGCGAGTGCGAGGAGAGTCGGCGCCTGCGCCATTAAATCGCCCGCACCGCCGGGAGCCCAGCCCGCGGAGTCTGCGGACCGCGAGCGGGGAGGGCGCTCACCTCGCGCCTGTCCATCTCGTGGATCACTCCCCCCACCGCCCCCCGGATGCTGCCTCCCTCCACCATCTTTCTCCTTAACACCCCACCCCCCATTTTTGAAATGGGGGAAGGGATGCCGAGGAAGAATACAAGAAATGCAATAATATCGATCAGGATTACGAGTTTTAGGGGCTTTGGGTTTAAAAAATAAAAGGGAGAAGGAAGAGAATCCGAGAGGGGAGTGGAGGACCACTCAGTTTGCTTGCCCAAAGTGTCTCAGATAAGCCCCAACACCCGTCTCTGACCTTACCCCGACACACCGTAAACTAGACACATAGCCCAGGGCGCTCAGGTAGAGGCCCGCACTCACCGGAATCCCGCGTGGAACATGTACATTCGGGGCGCCCCTGGGCTGGCGTACTTGGGAGTGGTGAAGATGTTCTCCTTTTTCAGGGACACGTAGCTGATGAGCGATAAAATCAGGAGGGCGACGCTGAGCATGACCAGCCCCAGCACACTGGCGACCCGGGCCATTTTGCAATTTCTCATCCCGTGCAGGGCTGGGATCAGGGAAACCAGGGAAATCGGTCCATTGAGCGGCCAGCAGCTCGCTGGCGTGTCAGTGAGTGTGTGTGTATGTGTGTGTGTGCGTGCGTGCGCGTGTATGTGTGTGTGTGTGCTCGGGCGCGTGTGAGCTTGTGTGGCGGGGGAGGGGGAACCCGGGCAGCCGAGCAGCGGAACGCCGGGGGTGGGGGCGGGCGTGAGTCGCTGGAGTAGCGGGACCCCCAGGGCCAGAGCCAGCGGGGCCCAAGCTGAGCAGGAAGATGGAGGGGCTGCGCGGCGGCGTGGCGATGAAGCGCGCCGCGCTGTGCGTCTCTGGCCGCCGGCTCAGGCTCCCCCGCGCGTTTCCAGCGAGGCTGCCATCTCCACCGCCGCCTGCAAGATAAATGTGATTGGAATAATGTTACAGTTCGATCTAAGCACAGGATTTAATTAATGAACTCTAATCTCCCAAATAACGGGGGGGGGGGGCGGGGTGCAGGAGAGGGAGGGAAGAAGGGGAGGTGGTGGAGGGAGGGATGTGAGGCTAGAAGGCTTCAGCCCACGCCTATGGCCTCCCTGGCTGAGGGTATCCATGAGGAGGTAGTGGTAAGGAGACAGACACCCAAAGTTAGTGTAATGGACCATTCATTACTTTATAAAATATATCATGGAACAAGGGGGTAAATAACTGAATTTGCTGTTCGGAGGATAAACACCAGCTGGTTGCTTTCCAGAAATGCAGGAAGAGTGTTTTTTAGGATGACAAATGTTTAAAAGCTTTTCTTACCACCCCCAGCCCCATTGACCAGCACCTGCCAAGGCACCTCAGTCAGGAAGTCCCAACAGCAGCTGGGCTGGTCTGCTTTGGTAGCAGTTAAAACCCTGAAATTTTCTAGAATGTCTCCTTGATGATCCCCTTTCTATGCCCACCACATAGCTTATCTCTAAAAGGTGGATACTGCGTAGCAAGTTGTGAGGTGAGTGGTGAGTGTAGTGGAGGCCTGGCTCCCTCTCTTCTGTCCCATGCACCCAGAAGGTGAACAAGCTTGCCTGAGTTGACCAGATCTGGAGCATTAGCCCTGATTGAAGGATCCATTGCACCCCTTTCATACCCACCCCTATGATCAGTCTCCTGGCTTTGCTGGGTGGTCTGAGTTGCCCAGAAGCTGAGGACATTATAAATGCACAAGATCTCTTTTTCAGGATCCCAAGAAACAGGTTAAAGAGGCTACCTCTGAGGGTGGTAGGAAAACTCACTTACAATTTGTATTGCTTGACCTTAAATTTATTTTAGCATATTAATTCATATGTTATCTTTTTAATATTCATTGAAAATACAGATTAATCCATTTTTAGTCACATTGGGTGCTGAGGAGAAGCTCACATCATGTATTTTAGCTCTGCCCCTTGCAACTAGTATGGCTTCTTCCACCCTATTTACCCTTGGTTGGTCCTCAAATTTTCATCAATAAGCACTAATGAAAGAAGCTGGAGGTGAGAAGTTGGCCTTCAAGAGCCTTTTCCCATTAAACAAGAAGAGATATTTTCAAGGGAGTTAGGATTTCTTTCTCTCCTGAAAGTCTTGCCTTATGGATTTGGGTGGACTTACGTTACGTCAGGGGACTGTAAATTCTCCAAAAGGGTAATCTCCTAGATTGTAAGCTCCTGCAGAGCAGGGACCATGTCTTCTTGGCCAGTACTGACTCATATAGAGGGCATGTTTCCTACATGTTTGAGGACCAGATGAGCTTCCTTGTGAAGCATATCTCTGCTTGGTTGTAGACAGTGAGTGGCAAGTAGACTGCTTCTATTTCCAGTGACAAAGGGGGTCACTTAATACCCATTAAAGATATTTATGTCAAAATAAAAATGTGGGTCAGGAGGACACAGATAATCTTCTTTTCCCTGTGGGGCTTTTTCATTATTTAAAACATTTTTGAAAAGTGCATGCCTCAATATGATGAGTACTTGAGTGGAATTTTTAAAGTAACTACCATGTTTTTTGTTAGAAGATCACATGAGTATAAATGTCCAAAGGAGTAAGATCGTATAAGAGTTATCTAAGAATTAAAAATGTTGGAGGAAAAAAAAGGTCAAGGTAACATGCCACGGGGATTCAGCCAAGGTAGTGGCTCTACTTTCAGGCTCTGGAGCTAGGCAGACCTTACCTACATGCTGCCTCTGGCATCTATGAGCTACCTGACCTTGGGTGAGCTATCAACTTCTCTGTTTTTGGCTTCTCATTTATAGAACCAGGATAAAAAAATCTCAGAATTTGGAGTGAGATTAAATACCCTGGCCTGTGACCCCATAAATGCCCTTCTATAAAACATACCAAGGAAAAACATACTTGGGTAAAGTATTTTCCTACAAAGAATGGTGAAGATCAAGATCAAGATCAGTTTCCTCTAAAAAACAGTGTTCTGGGCTTCCCTGGGACCTAAAATATGAATTTGCTGTACCTAGATTTTAAAAAATTGATATGCTACTTCTACTTAGCACACCTCTGTGCACCTTTTAAAGGAAGTTCTAGTAGGATGATTCCTATATTGCATATGGTTCATTGAAGGTCACATGATATAAAGGAACCAAATTAGCCAGAAAATAAACAGGCAGGCAGGAATTCTTATTACATGTACCAGGCTTATCTGTGATTGCTCAGTAATTACCAGGGGGATAATCCTGATGGTGGTACTTCAAAGAGTAACTGGAGCTGCTGGATAAGGGGTTTTCCAGACCCGGGATTAAAGCTATTTAATAAACTAAAAAATAATTAGGATCTTTTTACAAAATACCACTTATCAAATTTTACTAGCATCAGCCCTGTGTGTAAGTATAGGAGGGGAAAAAAAAAAACCAGCAATGAAAATTCCCTTGGCTTTAATATTTTCTAGAGGATTTGTTATTTTGGACACAGTATTAACTTTCCCTTGCCCACCCCTATGAGTGCCCACTTTTTGCAACATGCTCTGTTATTCTGTGTCCCTTCACCAACCCATACCTACCAAGAACAATTTCCAGGTACATTGGGGGCGGAAGGCCAGGAAAGTTGGTGTCTTTTATTAGAAACAACATTGTGTGTTCTTTTATTCATTCGTCTCTATTTTCTTTCATAAATCCACTAAATAAAATGTGCTGATTATCAAAAACTACAGTACGCATACTGGGGGGTTATAAAGTCAACTTTGACCTCATGATCTTGTGGGGGAGAAGAATATAAACAACAGAAGACTGATGAAAGAACTAAACAATGACCTCTGTCAGCACAAGATCAGTGGAATTCTTCAGGGGGCAACATTTGGGTTAGGTCTTAAAGCATAAACAGGACTTATTAGATAGAGGATTTTAGAAAAGGGTAGCCCAGGTAGAGACAGAGAAGGTTTGCTGAACAGCAGGAAGTTTGTGATGAATGCCCCAAAGAAGAGCAGAGAAAGGGAGTTGGGGTCAGACTGAGAAAGGCCTGTCGGACAGGAAGACATCCAGTGGTGGAGATGGCCAGTGTGTTGGTCAGCTTTGTATTCGTGTGTTCAAAACATCTGATAAGATTAACTTAGAGGAGGGAAAGTTTACTTTGTCTTATGGTTTCAGAGATTTAGACCATGATCACTGAATTCATCACTTTGTGTTCAAGGTGGGACAGAACATCATGGTGGAAGGGCATGGTAGAGAGAAGCTGCTTGACTCATGGTGGCAGGAAGCAGAGAGAGAGAACAGAAGGGGCCACAGGGAAGATGCACTCTTCTAGGGCATGTCCCCAGTGACCCACACCCTCCAGCCACATCCCACCTGCCTACAGTTACCACCCACCTAGTCCACTTAAACTAGGATGGACTGATCAGGTTCCAGCTCTCATAATCTAATCATTTCACCTCCTGCATTAACACAGGAGCTTGTGGGAGACACTTCATATCTAAACCATAATAGCTGGTATCTTTAGCAATACTGCTCAGGACTGTCCAAAGTTTGTAGAGAGCAATGAGTTCATGATGTGCCCTGAGTAGGAGAAGCAGCAGGAGTCACCCATGTGGATGTCAGAAGTCAGCTGTTGTGTCCATTAGCCCTCCAGCCTGATCACATGCATGCCTCAATTTATCAATGAATTTTCCATTATGGCACACTCCTGAATAAGGCATCAGGGAACTTTCAGGAGGGTAAGTAACCCTGGCCAGACAATATGGGGCTTGTAGAATAGAGAGGGCAGGGAGAGTCTATCAGGAAGCCGCTTTTTGGAACTCCGTGTTCCTGGAGGTCTTTCTGCATATTATTGACTTAATATCTGTTTCTAATAAGTCTAGCCATGGCCACTAAGAAAGAATCTTGGGGTCCTCTGGTTTTCCAATTCCTATTTCCCTACCAAAGGTAAGTACTTTATGAGTTCAGTGGTAAGAAAAGTCACTATGGCCAGAGGAATTGCCACCAAAGCTCTCAGAGGCTAGAAAGATGCTTGAAGTTTCCAGAGATGGAGACAATCAGAGAGGACAGGGCAGGCAGGGCAGCATGACTTCTAGCAGGATGACAGTGCGCAGGCAGAAGAGGGAAGGCTTGGTGGGGTCAAGGAGCAGATATACTTCCTTGGAGTAAAGTGAAAGGAGCCCAGGCACCCAGGCACCCAGAGCACGCTTGTGCCAGCACTCTTCTACACTATGTGGTGGTCCTGTTAGGAAGGCATGATATTTTTGCTTTACAGTTGAAGAAACTGATGTTGAAAGAGATTAGGGATTTGCTCAAGGTAAAGTCCCTCTAGCTCTAAAGCCACCTTCCACTCGCCCACACTGCTTGTGAGTGAGTCCTGGGATGGTGGCTGGACATAGAAGCAGGCCTGGGGAAGAGTAGAAGCACCAGCCTTTGCAGTGGGAGCCAGTTATTTCTGCTACTACTGGTGATGCTAACAATGCTGATGCCATCTAGCATTTGTTTTTCACTTGCTGTGTTTGTGTATTGTCCTAGGCAATTTCCATAACTGGTCTCATTCGATCTCTGTTTTGTGCCTTTGAAGACATATGGAGGGTCCCTGACTTAATGTTGGTTTGACCTACAGATTTTCAATTTGATCTGGTATTAAAACAATAGATATTCTATAGAATCCATACTTCAAATTTTGATTTTTGATCATGTCTCTGGCTAGCAACACCTGGTAAGACCCTCTCTGCTGAGAAGCAACAAACTGCATCTCCAGCCAATTAAGAGTGAACAACTGAGAAATCATGATGTACAGTGTTATCACTGTTTTGGGGTACAGATATTCAATATTCAATACTTTGTTCTAAAATGAGTTTTGTGTTAGATGACTTTACCCAGGTGTAGAATAATGGAAGTATTCTGAGCATGTTTAATATAGACTGAG